AGGACACAGAGACACACAGGACACAGAGACACAGACAGACACACAGACACACACACACAGACACACACATAGAGACACACACAAAGACACACAGACACACACATAGAGACACACACAGTGACAAACACAGACACACATACAGACACACACACACATAGAGACACAGAGACACACACAAAGACACACAGAGACACACACACAGACATACATACAGACACACACACACACACATAGAGACACAGAGACACACACAAAGACACAAAGAGACACACACACACAGACACACACAGTGACACACACAGACACACATACAGACACACACACACACACATAGAAACACAGAGACACACACAAAGACACAAAGAGACACACACACACAGACACACACAGTGACACACACAGACACACATACAGACACACACACACACACACATAGAGACACAGAGACACACACAAAGACACACACAGACACAGTGACACATACAGACACACACACACACACAAACACACACACACACACACACACACACTCACAAGAAAGAAGTGAAACAGAAACTAAGGTCCAGAGAGGGGAACATGGACTGTGTGAGAAAGGACGGTGCTGTGATTAGATTAAGATTGCTGCCCCAGGGAGATTATTTTGGGCCAACATAACCACGGGGTCCTTTTGAAGAAGCAGGAGGGTAGTCAATGGTGGTGAAGTGATGACAGGATTAAAGAATTGAGCAACAAAGCCGTGTACCAAGGAGTGACAGCAGCTCGTAGAAGCCAGCTGAGCCAGGAGCTGTCTCTTCAAGCTCCCTCAGCCTTGACTTCAGCTCAGTGACCTTGACTTGGGCCTTTTGCCCTCTAGAGTGTGTCATCTTAAGCTGATAAATTTGGGGCTGTTTGTTAGAGCAGCCATGGGAGGCTGATCCACCTCAGTGATGAACAGTCTGCATTGTGTGGTGAACACCTTTCTCAGTGTTCTGGCCTGTTTCCCGAGGCTTTCTTTCACAGTCGGGCACAGAGGTTGCCAAATGATCCCATGGTGGATTGACGAGCACTTTCCTCATCTGTGGCCTCCTCAGCAAGCACGATTGCACAGCTGCCCATACAGTCAACCTACCTGCTGATCCACACTGCCCCAGGAGGTCAGCTCTCTACTCAAGAGAAGGTCACTTTGAGTTTGCCATCATGCCAGCTAAGAGCACTTTCTCAATGGCATAAAGGTCTTGAGCAGGCAGAAGGATTTCAGTCAATTTCATGTCTGTACTCTCTCTATATATATCTGTAATGTTGCAAGGATGAAAAGCTGAGATTTTGATATGGTGGATTTGCACCTCCAAGAAATGGTGTTACAGCAGAGATGTATACACATCCTTCCTAATAAGCCTGTCACAGAATCAAGAGACAATCTCAGAATCAAGAGACAACCCCGGCCCTTACAAGCACCCATCCCCTACCCAGGCCAGCCCTAGGCAACAAGTGTATGGGGCAAGATGTGTGTTAATGTTCAATCAATATCATCAGGGGAGGAACAGTATGAATAATTCAAACCTATGTTGCTTAAACATTTAAATATATAGAATGTATATGCCTGTACTGTACACGTGGGTGACGTGTGTGTGTGTGTGTGTGTGTGTGCATAGTCGTGCAGGCCTGGGTTTAGGGGAAGAACAGTACTAGATGATACTAATGGTTTTATGCAGGTTATGAACTGTACTGCTGACTTTTCATTTCCTTGTCTGTATGTGTTCAATATTTTTTGTTTTGCAAAGTACAAGACCATTGGCCTAATGGAAAATAAGATTAATTTCAAAACAGAATGGAAGATTTCACGAGGCAGGCTACATCCTTGAGGAATAGGTCCAGATCCCGATTGTGCCTCCCCAAATTCAATGGCGGAGTCATCTCCGCATCTGTGAGCTGTAGGATAGTGGTGTGGCCTGCGGCTTGAAATCCGAAAACAGATGTGACCACGAGGGCGGGTTCTGCTGAGTGACCCAAAGAAAGCCCGCTTTAGACTCAATCGGGGGTGCCAGGCGGTTCTCTTCTGAGACCTCTCCCTCTTTGCTTTACAAAACACATCGCCCTCGAGGTTCACTTGCAGGTGCTGCTCAAGACCCGGGTCGCAGCAGACCTGGGTCACCCCGCCTCCACCCCCCTCCCTGCGATGGCGTTTTTTGTTTTAACTCATCTGAACCGGTTACAAAACCACACTCCCACGAATACATAAATAATGGATGGGGTGATGTATTAAAGAAATCCCCACAAGGCCTGGCAAAGCTGCAGCGAATGCATTTCTGCTGTATCATATTTAACTGTTTGCAAACGTCTGCAGGGGGGATGCACAGAGCCTGCAGACTCGGGGACTCATCGCACCTCTCTGTCGAGGGCCTGGCAATTCTGGCGTGGGGAGTTAAAAGGAGGGCAGGAAGTTGCAGGGATGAACCTTCAGGATGAAGCAGCGCAATGTAAAATTGCACTGCACATCAACCGGCTTGGCAAGAGCCACGCATCCATCGGTCTTCTGCCAGGACTGCGGCGGAGAGGACAGGCCCCTTTAAGAGCCAGCGCGCGCCCCCGCCCCGCGAGCGCTCATTTTCCCTAGCAACCGCCCCGGGGGAGGGGGAG